GATTTCATCAGAACAGTTACCGGAGAGCACAATCACGGGCTCGACAATCCAGCCACAGTTCGACTCATGAGCACATTGAGAAAAAGAGCCAGGGATGAGTCAACTCCAATGCCCCAAATGTACAATGAAGAGCTCGGCCAACTGCCCGTTGATGATGCTGCTGTTACACAACCTCGGTCCAGTGTAAAGTCATCATTGTATAGACACAGAAGGAAGACCACTCCTGCATTGCCTGAACATCGTAGAGATGTCACCCGGACTACTACATCTGATGGACGTCACTTTCTTGCTGTTGAAGACGGAGACGGTGACAAGTTGCTACTAGAGTTTTCCACGGATGAATCACTCTCAACGTTACAGCAGGCTGATGTCCTCTTCATGGATGGAACTTTCTATTCGTGTCCAAGACTTTGGCTTCAGTTGTACGTGATTCACTCTCTGATTGGCAATACTATGATACCCTTAGCTTTCTGCCTTATGCCTTATCGTCAGCGAGCAACTTACTGTAGACTGTTTTGTGTGCTGAAGGATGCTGTTCAACAAAACACTGGCAGACCTCTTCAACCATTGACTATCCAGGTGGACTTTGAGTACCCTGTTCGCAAGGCTAAAACATCTGTGAGAGGGTGTTACTTTCATTACACGCAGTGCTTGTGGCGCTAGACCCAGGACCTAGGGCTTGTGATAGCGTACAAAGAGAATGATGACTTTTCTGACCTGTTTAGATCTGCTGTAGCCCTTCCCTTTTTACCTCTTGAATTTGTCCAAGACACCTGGTTGGAGCCCATGAACCATGCACTAGACATCCGAAGCTGTGACGCATTCAAGGACTATGTTGTGAGTGTGGGGGTTGACGATGACTCACTCAACCAGAGCATCAGGCACAGTCACCCTAACACCTTTGAAGTCATCGATGCCATCAAGAGCATCGAGGCAACGAACAGGAGACGGATTGCCCAGCGGGATCATGGAGCTCCTGCACCACCCACGAAGAGGATGTACAGAGAGATGGATGCTCGCCCCCGCTGTTTGCAGGATCAGCTCCAGAAACAACAGACGTCCCCCTTTGAATGTGTTCGTGCAGCAGGCTGTGTGGCGAAACAATTTGTGTAAAGATAATGAAGATGGAATGCTGACTCCAGATATTAAAGTACCAGAGTTTCATTGAGTTGTCAATTATACTTCTTAATTCAGTTACTATGTAGTGTATATGATATATCTATCTATCTATGTAATTAGCTGAATATATATTGTATGAACCTGGTACAGTTATAATTGTGTATATATATATATATTCCGTTATATGTTTATGTAATTATTCTCATGAGTAGTCATACTGGGAATGGGAAGGACTATAGCCCTAGAACAAAGGCTCACGCTTCAGTGGCTCTTGCTAATAACCTGGCTCGAATGTCTCACCTAGCGTTGGGACAATGTTCTCATAAGTTAGACATCCCATTTGTCAGACATGCCAATTATCTGACAAATCAATCAGGCGTGACTGTGATTACAACTTAGTGTTACCCACTGACACGATTCACTCCGATTAGTTAGACGTGTACCGTTGTGAAATGTGGGAATATGTTCATGAAAACAGATTGAAAATGTACGTATATGTTTTATGAGAAATTTATTACCTGTAAAGAAATGTACCCCACTGTATATGCTTTATGGTGAATTAGGTAGATAACAAAGTTATCCCCTTTCTCCAATTTCGTACTTCATCCCACCATTTACCAGTTGAAAAGGACGATGGAATACCATTCCAATAAATGAAAGAAAATGTAAGGTATGTTGTATGAATGATGTGGGTGATGAGTTTTATTATATTATTAAATGAAAATATTTTAGAAAAAGAGGATCAATGTATATACAGGCTTCCTTTATAATCAGACCAAATATGTTATAATTTAAATCACTCTTTACATGTAAAAAGAAATATCTGTTATGAAAAATCATCTCAGTAAATGCTGTAAAATCCTATGGCTAATTACTACTTGTGATTGGAAGTACCAGTGAGTTAATTCATACACTGGGTATAAATGCTGTACAATGTTAGTGGACAGTACAACCATGGCAAATCAGCAGATATGTCACATGTACATACCAACATCGAGGGGTGGTAGATACCTTTGTATGGATGGTTTTATGTACCGAGTGGGCAAGAGGAAACAGGACGACTGGATATCATGGAAGTGCGTGGATAAGAACTGTAAGTCCACAGTTTCTACCGTGAATGGTATCATCACCAAACACCCAGATCCTCACAACCATGACGAGATGAAACAATTGTTCAAGTGAGTTGAAACTACAGCTATAAACTTTATTGAACCTTGATGAAGCATTATATAAATCATTTCTACACTCAAACCTTTGTCCTGATAATTTCAATTTTTACACCCTGTTTTTTTTCATGTAAGCAGAGGCATTCACATAAGCTATATACTTATTTGCCGTCTCTTTTTCTGCAAAGGTTCGATCGACCGTTGAGGATTTGAAGATGAATGCCAAGACGTCCCTTGCTCCTGTGCCGTCCCTGTACAACGCGGGAGTGAGTGCCCTGAGGGATGGTGCGTGGACCGACCATAATAGAACTTTGGTGGAGAAGATGCCAGCGTTCCATACCATCAAGAACCAGCTGTACAGAAACCGTACAAACCGACAACCACCAAAAAGGAGGACATATGTCGACATAGACCGCAAGTTGATGGCTATACAACACCAACTCCAGACGGATGCCATTGACCTCTCCCACTACGCTGATGCCGCCTCGCATCTGTTGAAGCTGTCCTGAATTTTACATATTATATTTGTAATTTAACTAAATTTCTTGATAGGCATGTATCGTATATGTTTTTATGTTATTTATGTATTTTTGTAATTTATGAACTGAAATGTGACATGTAAATTTATATTTTAAATATTTTTTAAAAGTATTTTATACAATTATAGAAAAACATGTATGTATTGTATAATGGCAGTGACGAACATGGAATAAACTTCTGGAATATTGCGTTTCGTGTACTTTTCCATTTACATATTTGCACTTGCCCCGATGCTTGTAATCACAAGAAACACCTTTTGTTCTCCAACTTTGACCACAGCGATAATCCCTGCACGCATCACTTGCTGTGTTTATACGAGTCGCCTTCCCGGGAATAAACCTAGTGGTAAGGGGTATATTTTAACAATAATTATGATTTTGTTACTTTTTGCACAGAAATAATTTGATCAGAATACTAACGTTAATTGACTTACTCACACACCGAATCACTTGGGCTTTCCACCCACAGTAAGCTGACCGACTGAAAGCAGCGTTAAACCAAACTCACTCACGTGGAATAGGCAAAAATCTCCACTATACCCTGAATGCATCTACGGTTCGGCCCGATAATGTTATCAAAATTACTGTCACTGATGCTTAAAACGCCACACAACATAACTACGCTGTCTTGCCGCTTTTAACTCCTGTTTATGGTACACAACACTCGGCGGCCTCTGATTCAACAGCAGAACTACGATGCAATGTCAAATAATCACAAAAACGAACACTCTGTTGTGTTCGAAAGGTCATTATTAGGTCCAGAACACGTGCAATGCTAACACAGGGCTTGGGTTCACCAAAACTTATCAGTTTATCCACCTATTGTCATAGAAATAACATAATTGTTGCAAATTGCCACTGCTGACATTTCACACAAAAATGCTTAGGAACGGCATTGTATTTCGATCACCCAACATTTTCCACAACACTGTTCCATACCCTCTCATTATATGTAAACGTTTTTCATGACCCCCTGTGACTGGATAATCTTCAGTGAATACCGATAGCCAGAATTTCCGTTTGGTGTAAAAATAGCTTTGAAATCATATTGAAGCATTAACCTAAATCAGCAGAACGGTTCTTGTGTATATGGCGTTGGAATAGATTGGTATGTTTCGGCCCAAGTCCTGTTTTAAACAACAATAACAGTGAAATAGTTCAGTTTTTTGTTGTTATTTTTTTAATTGGTTCCCAAGATTAAAAGATCACAGATATACAAAGCCGTGATGTATACGACTTAGTCACACAGCTACATGGTGTAAAGGTATGATATCAATATATTGATATATTCACAAACATGCATAAATCATTAAACGTATAGAAACGCCTGAACTAAAATCAATAAATAAATTATTCTAAGGAACAAAGTGATTAATATTTTGTGAGAAATAGAACGAGTATACTGTATTAATATACATGTTAAATCTTAATGAATTATGTTTTTATCTCTTAATAAATTAATATTGATATTTTTGACTTTATCCTTCGTGGAATGCCCGATTTTGTTTTACAAAACACATCATTGTTTTTGACTGAGATCTCTTGTCTAAATTATACATTCACGAATTATTGAGAGAGTGAACATATCTGGACTGAAGTGATTGAGTAAAGTGTACATATATATTATTTAAATACATAAATATCCTACAACACATATTGTGTAGGACCCTCGGTAGTCCAAGGAGGGACATATGCTGATTGACGTCCATCACCTCCGGGGTGCGATGACACGCAGTCAAGCAACTCACCAAGAGTGTCTACTTGATCCAAATCGCTTCAAACGACAAGCAGTGAAGACCTAGAGTCCAGTTCTATCCCGGATTTCCCATGGCTGTGCATTGTACTACATACAACCTATAAACAGCCATGGAATATCTGATGTAGATGGGGTCGGTGAAGATTCGGGTTAGAATAATTGGTGTTCAGCTTGTCGTAAAAAGCGATTAAAGGGATCGGGTGGTCAGGCTCGCTGACTCTGCTGATGCATGCCTTCGTATCCCAATAACGTAGAGCGAGACTCATGATGTTAATCACTGGGTTGTCTGGTCTAGAATCATCTATTTACAGACCGCCGTCATGAAGCTGGAAAATTGCTGAGTGTGGCGTTAAACAACAAACATTCAAACTGATGTAAATGTGGCCCATTATATTATCTATCATTTTATTTAATTTCAAGTGACAGCAGCGAGTGAAAACATTGCCCTGTCGAAGCCAGTTTCATCAAGTCACAACGACTATGGCGGTGTACCTGAACGAGGCAACGACGGCAACGACAATCCAGTATACAGTGGCAACTCATGCGTGTATGGAGAGCGCACTCGAACAGACCCTCTTCCGTGGTGGCAAATTAACCTCCAATCACAATATTGTGTAGAGGTTATCGCAGTTACTAATCGAGCGGATGCTTTTCGTAAGTAAGGGGCGGAGGGGTAGCCTAGTGGTTAAAGCGTTCGCTCTTAACGCCGAAGACCCGGGTTCGATTCCCAACATGGGTACAATGTGTGAAGCCCATTTCTGGTATTCCCCGCCTTGATATTGCTGGAATATTGCTAAAAGCGGCATAGAAACCAGACTCACTACTGACTCACTATCGTAAGTAACTTATATCAGTGAGTGAGTATGGTCACGGCGGGGACACCAGAAATGGGCTTCACACATTGTACCCGTGTGGAGAATCGTCGTGACGAGCGAACGCTTTAACCACTAGGCTACCTCACCGTCTCAGCTATTATCATGCTAAAATGTCCATCAGTTAAATTCTGCAGTTATTGTTTTCGTCAATGAAAAATATTTTAAATGAAAAATAATTCCCCGCCTCTTATAATGCATTCTGCATACGTAACGTCTGACACTGAATCCTAGTCTTCCTGAGTCCCGACGTCTTAAATATCTGTGCCCGAGAAGACAATTATGCAGACTAAATTGTTTAATTCATATTTGTCATGTTCAGCGTTGATATATAATCCCGTCCCACATTTGTGTCTTGCAGCAAAAAGACAAAAACAGGGCGAACCTGGGATTTGAACCCGATATCACAGTTGCCTGACACGCTTAAGGGACGTAACTCCACACAGCGACCATATATAACCATAATCAGAACAGGGACGTGTTGTGGCCATGTTATGACGTAATATCAATATGGTTCTCGTGACGTGTGTCTTTCTTCTTAATTCGTTTCAGAATGGAGACTTCATAATTTCACAATCAGTGTTTACACTGAGGACCCAAGTACCACCCCAACAGCCGTGGCCAAGGTGTGCGCTGTGTACCCCGGGACAGTCGGGTCGGGGGTCCGGGAGGTCCTGCCCTGTGGGTCGCGAGTCAGAGGGCAGTACCTCAGGCTGCACAAGAATGAGCTGCTCCATAAAGATGCTCTGCAGTTCTGTGAACTCGAGATCTATGCAACTGAGTCGTCGCTTGATTTCGACACAAGTCTGAGTAAGTCTCAATTGAGCCGACGTTCATAAATATTCATTATCATCACTTCTTAATACAGTCAAATACTACTGTGTCGAACTTATATGTGTCGAATTTCCGGTTCTCTCGAAGTGAAAGCTTGGCCCCGTCGTATTTCTTTCTTTTGTCATCATTTTGCGGATGTTTCGAACCTCGGATAAAACGAAGTAATACGTACGTCACCTCTACTTCGACACAACAGTGTTTGACTGTATATGAATAGCGTATGTCCCTCAAGCATCACGAAATGTACAAGTGGTATCTATACAACCGATCTTTGCCACTGAGTCGTCGCATGATTTCGACACACGCCACAGTAAGTCTCAGCTGGGTTGATGTTCTAAACGTACCTACCAGTTACGTTTAATTGAAGGAGAATACGAACGAAAACAAAACTTTTGATATATTGTAACTGATATTCTAAAAGTCACATTCCGTGATTAAAATTGACCAAAACGTTTGTAAAATAGCAATAAATACACAAAAAACGTACTCGTATTTCCGTCTATTACGGAAACACCCGACAGTTAATGAGCAGAGGGGGTTTCACGTAACATGACGTCATATGTGTTTGTTGCTGATGTCTTCCTCTTTGATTTTACCTCACAACTTAACAGTGTCCATGGATTCTGAAGCAGTAAAAGATGTTCCTAGTGTCATTTCTGAAATGGATTTTAGACCGTATCAATACGATCCGATTTTACATCGTAAGACAATCTTTCAGTGCAGATGACGAAGAAGAATCAAGCGAAACGGAGGCACCGCTTGAGGTCAAAATATATTTTAAAACAGACCACATCATTTAACAGAATACTATTTGTCAGCAAAATGTGACACAGTTCCAACCAGCAAACCGACCCCTATAAATATATGACCAGTCCCAAGGAATTTTTTTAAAAGTGATTGCAGTTCCTTTTGTGTCAAATGGGTGACTGAGATTTAAAAACAAAATAATTATGCTTCAGACGGGGAAAATAGAATATTATCTGCTACAAACATTACACTGGAATTATTTAGATGAAATAAATTATGATCCTAGTTCTCATTAATAATGTATCAAGTCTCCATACAAGTTCCCAGCCTGGTCGAGCAGAGATAATATAGTGAAGTGAAGTCTGTTTGTCTGTTAGAGAGAATGGTGATGTCAGACCACTCTATTTGATGATTGGGGCTTGCTTTGATGTGGTTGGAAATGGCTAATTTGCTGTCGGAATTGGTAACAGCGGTCTGATGTGAAAGAACAGCAAATCAGCCATTTCCGACCACATCAAAGCAAGCCCCAATCATCAAATAGAGTGGTCTGACATCACCATTCTCTCTAACAAACAAACAGACTTCACTAAACGCAAGCTCACCGAAGCCATCCACATCAAACGCCAAAAGCCCACCATCAACCGAGACCAAGGATACTTCATTCCATCCGCTTATGATGCACTCATCCACCAAGCCCAATCCACTGTATAAACTCTGCTGTATAAACATCTCATTATTATTTGTACATCATTGGCTTCCACGCCTGTCCTTTGTCTACTCTCTGGCTTCATCAGCTTTCTGCCTAGCCAATTACTTTAATTATGTTGTTTTCTTTGTTACATTGTTACATCCAGTATATATAAACTTCCCCCTTCTTCATGTCCCATTATGCTTGACAACGGTACAAGAATCTGTATCGAAACGTCGCACTCACGAATAAAAAGAAGTTGTTATCCATAAAGTTTGTTCTATATTGTACTTCCCAACTTCTAAAATGCCACTCAAAGAAGTTTCCTTCATGCAGTTAAACACTGTTGTGTCGAAGTTCTGGTTGTCACTCAGTGAAAGCTTGGTCCCGGTACATTCCTTCTTTCGTCATCATTTTGCGGTTGTTTCGAACCTAGGATAACTCGAAGAACTATTCAAAGTACGTGTATGGACCGATGTGTAATACAAAGCGCAAACGACAATATGAGATCGAATAGTGAAATTCCGTTACGATTAATATATACATGCAAATAACCGAATTACGTGAATTTTGCCCAACTATAAAGAATATTTGAGTAAAATCACGGCTAGCATAATGTGCGAGGAGATCCAGAGGTGATGGCAACCTGATATGTCTACGAGTGCGAGTGCGACTGCGAGTACGACTGCGACTGCGACTACGACTACGACTACGACTACGACTGCGACTACGACTACGACTACGACTACGACTACGACCACGGCCACGACCACGGTATACCACGAATACAAAAAAACATAATCAGCACGAATCAGGGTTTGGGTTATTATATATTAATAATTACGGTTTTTTGTCTTCAGCGGCACTTATTATCAGCCAACTAATATACTTTGGGTAATTATATGAGTAAATCAATAATTATGTCTTTTTGTTCCCGTGGCACTTATTATCCGCCAACTAATAAACAATGGTATATCTTCTGTTTTCGCAGGCACCGTATCTTTCTTTTCAAAGAACCCCTCTCTCCGTCTTGAAGGGACGCCGCTCAGAGAACATGTTGAAACACCGACGCAATGCGGCAGTCTGTGTCACCAGATTCCCCGCTGCTTTGGATTCAACTTCCAAGCAGGAAAAGATAGTTCCATGGGACATTGTCAACTTATGTCAAATCTAGGCTCGGATCCAGTTGACGATCCCACCTGGGCCTGGTACGACAAGAGATGCTGAATGTCAGCCTTTTTTCTTTTCAGCGTGTCCTGATCTTTGCTAAAGACACAAACAACAGTTTTCGCCAGGATGTTGGTTTTTACAGTACTGTCTGTTCTGAAATAATATACGAGGTGGTATTGATAAGCTGATACAGGAAGCAAAAGTGACCAGGTTTCCCAGTCGTGACCAACTCGTGTTATTCCGGGACAAGCTGAATAGCGACTCGTGCCTCTCTGGAAGGAGTTCATATTGGCGCATGAACATCAGAACTACTTTTATCAAGAACGATAACTCCATTCTTGTTTGATTCAAATGGCTCTTAATATCATCGAAGCTCTCGTACATTGTATTGCTGTTCTGGCTTTTATTTATTTATTTTAAAGAATTAAATCGCTTTGATACAACTAAATGAATTAGAAAAAAAATATTTGTTAAAGACATATTCTCATGTAATTATAACCAGCTGTTCACCTTATATTTCCAAATAGAGTATAGAATAACATTTTCAGCCACATTTTACCGGAAGCGTCCTAGTGCCACAGTCAGAATTTTTTTATCTCCTAATTAGGACTTAGCTATCTCCTAAGTAGGTGATAATATCTCCTAATTAGGACTTAATATCTCTTAATTAGGACATAGCTATCTCCTAATTAGGACTTAATATCTCTTAATTAGGACATAGCTATCTCCTAATTAGGACATAGCTATCTCCTTATTAGGACTTAAGGATCTTATAAATATGTTTGAAAAAGTCAACCAGTAGTCATTCACTTCTTCTGTTTGGGTTAAGCATCTTGGATGAAGTCATGGATGAAAGCATATGCATTTGTTTAATGTTGGGCTTGCAGTATTCAGAAATTTTGTCTTGGCCCATATAAATGGCATCATTATCAGCATGAAGACTTTGAAAAGGAAATCAAAATGACTGAATCTGTTTAGGCGAAGACATGATAGTGATATTGTAGAAGTTGCTATGCTCGTAGGGAAAGAGGTAGTCTTGTATGCATCTGAAATGCATACAAGAGGGATTCATTATCAGTCAGGACATAGTGCTTCATTTGCTGCATTTAGTAGTGGTAGAAATGACAGTACAAGAACACCCAACTACATGTACTACTTCCACAGAGATCGGGTAGCCTCCCTGAGTGTGAGACTACCACGCCAATGACGTCACGAGGGGGAATCCCAATCGCTTCCTCTATAGCGTGGGCCAACGCCATTTTGAAAAAAACTCAAGTCGTCCGATTTTGTAATGACACATGCCTCCACAAATGCAAATTTATAGAGCGAAATAAACAATGACAACACACAACTTCTATGCACAATATTTAATATCCCCGTGTATGCAGAATGGACATGGGTCGGAGAGCCTCCCCAAGCCACCCTTACAATCTATGTACAGATGTCTCTTAAAATATACAAATACACTTTACACACCTCTCTACCATGTAGTGGTGGGTGGTGGTGGTGATGGTGGTGTCGGTATGTGTTTGTGTGCGTGGTGGTGCCGGTGCTGTGTCTGCTGCTCCTGTGGCTGCGTCTGCGTCGTCGTCAGCATCAGTGGAACCACATTTTGGCATTCATCAGAATGTTTGACTCTCATGTGTCTCTTCCAATCATAGGGGCGTTGGGGTAGCCTAGTGGTTAAAGCATTGGCTCGTCATGCCAAAGACCCAGGTTGGAATCCCCACATGGGTACAATGTCTTGATGTTTTTCCTCCAAAGGTCAGTGACAGACCAACAAAGTTCTGGGCTATTTAAAACTCCATCCATTGGCTCTTCAGCCCATTAAATGGGGTTCTATGACCAACAAAGTTCTATGGGAAATGCTAATGGAACTACTGTTGTTGTGATTGCACGTGTAAAAATGACTGTAAAACTTAGTGATTACGTTTAGTTTTTTTATAAGCATGGTTTACACTAAAGTTGTGCAAAACGATTTGAAAGGTAGGCCTACTAAACCACTAACCTAGTTATACAGGTCACGTCTGTTGTACATAGCCAGGCGTGTGTGCATAGGTTAAGACTCGAAATATATTTTGAATACAAGTGGACAGACATTACACTATATGTAAAACTAAACCTGGGACAGCCTTCTGTTTAGTTGGGAAGACTTATGTATGTAGCCTGTTACAGATCCGTAGGACAGTAAGGACTGTGGTTATATGACAAGGCATGCTTACATGACGATGTGAAAAAATGTGACTGCTGATCTCATAGATTATATGGATTATATTGTTTTGTCGTAATTTCGCACATAACAAGCATCAATAGGGTCTTCTGGAGGTTACGGAAAGACTCGAGTGGTGACGAATGTTCTTCAACCAGACATACCGCAACCAACCATATCACAAGGGTACCCACTCATGACTGCACTTATTACATCTGACATTCACTTTATATAGTCACATTTCCCTTACGGGTAGATGCATAGGTAGGGAGACTGACGAGTAGATTTGTAGGCATTGAGATTGGTGGGTCGGTGTGTAGGTAGGAAGACTGACGGGTCGATGCATGGGTAGTAAGACTGACGGGTAGATGTGTAGGTAGGAGACTGACGGGCAGATGTGTAGGTAAGGAGACTGGCGGGTAGGTGTGTAGGTAGGGAGACTGACGGGCAGAAATGCTAATGGAACTACTATTAAATTAATTGTTGTGATTGCACGTGTAAAAATGACTGTAAAACTTAGTGATTACGTTTAGTGTTTTTATAAGCATGGTTTACACTAAAGTTGTGCAAAACGATTTGAAAGGTAGGCCTACTAAACCACTAACCTAGTTATACAGGTCACGTCTGTTGTACATAGCCAGGCGTGTGTGCACAGGTTAAGACTCGAAATATATTTTGAATACAAGTGGACAGACATTACACTATATGTAAAACTAAACCTGGGACAGCCTTCTGTTTAGTTGGGAAGACTTATGTATGTAGCCTGTTACAGATCCGTAGGACAGTAAGGACTGTGTTTATATGACAAGGCATGCTTACATGACGATGTGAAAAAATGTGACTGTTGATCTCATAGATTATATGGATTATGCGATACTGTGGATAAATAATAATGAGCAGGTGACGTCAATAGCGTTGGGTGTTCTGGTACTCTCATTTCTACCACTACTAGATGCAGCAAATGACGCACCGTGTCTTGACTGACAGCGAATCCCTCTTGTATTCATTTCAGATGCATAAGTTTGTAACCACACATTTGTCCTGATTCTTCTATAACATATGTTATATTTGGGATTACACTTTCTTACTAAAGTACAAATTCTAGTACTTTTGTTGGGTTGAGTCCCATCAGGGATTCGAACCCAGAGTCAGGCACCCAATCGCCAGCACACAAAGTCAGCCGGGTCAGCCACCGCGACTTCCAGCCACCGCTGGCGATAAGGTGCCTGACTCTGAGGGTGTGGTTCGAATCCCAGACGGCACTCAACCCAACAAAAGTACTAGAATTTGTACTTTACCAAAAGAGTGTAATCCCAAATATAACATAGGTTACATCTGACCACTTTCTAAATGGCACTGTGTAATCACTGATTCTTCTACCTCTTTCACCACGAACGTAACAACTTCTGCAATATCACTAGTATGTCTTCGCCTACACAGTTTCAGTCATTTTGATTTCCTTTTCAAAGTCTTCATGCTGATAATGATGCCATTTAAATGGGCCAAACAAGACAAAATTTCTGCATACTGCAAGCCCAACATGAAACAAATGCATATGCTTTCATCCATGACTTCATCCAAGATGCTAAACCCAAACAGAAGAAGTGAATGACTACTGGTTGACTTTTACAAACATATTTATAAGATCCTTAAGTCCTAGTTAGGAGATATTAAGTCCTAATAAGGAGATAGTATCACCTAATAAGGAGATAGCTAAGTTAAACATTAGACTTAATTAGTAATATATAGACATAATATTATTGCTTTAAAACTCGTAGCGATTTATAACTATATTTCCTAAAACTGTTGGGAAGCGCACGTACAATCTCCAAAACAAGCCCGCAAGTTCGTTAGAAATGCGCTCGATTTGACACCCATGAGAGCCGTGATGTAAACAAACGCACGTGCGTATTTTCATCTCTCACCCTCCATGGCATTATACTTACTAAAAGCTACACATGAGGCAACACAGTTCTGTTCCGCTAGTTGACAACAGGTTTTCAGTGTATCAGCTCGTTTCTACTGGGGACATGGAGGAGGATATCGTCATTTTTCGCCGCTCACCTGAGCACATGTGGTTTTCCATTCGTAACAGCTCGTGTCATTCCAGCAAGCCGGATGGCGTCTCGTACCCCTCTTGTGACCATGTTTACGACTGGGCCCTGTCTACGCGCAAACGGGCATGGAGATGAAAATAGTCTAGTACTATTACAAAGGAAAGATAACTCTGAATTTCCAAACATGGCTCGTAGAATATCCTATATCCCGTGGGCAAAACAGCAATACAGTCATTCCCTTTGTAAATATGTTTCAGTGTTAAAAGTTTCTGATCATTTAGCTCAAAGTTTATGTTTAAATTATGCTTTGTATAGTTTAGCGAAGTTTCAAAGTTCAACGCTGCCGCCATTTTCATGCCTCGAAATGCGTTTTACTACTCGCGATTTGATTGGTTTGCCACGATTCTTGGCAATAATGGCGTACGATAGGGGTACGAGTCTTCTTGTAGGACACGGAAAGAGGCGAGTAGTTACGAATGGTGGTTTTCCACATCCATTGAGAGTCTCCACCCTCCATCCTGTTGAGGATGCTCGCAGCAACAGGACAAGATTCAGGAGAAGTAATTTTTTGTATTCATTGCATCAATTGTTTCTTTGGTGTTATGAGGGGCTATATGGATTGGTCAGGATAGTTATCTTAATGGGATGTCATTCATATAAGATTCATATCTGTAACCACTGAAATATTTGTGAGGATTTTTTCTTAAATGGTGAAATATACTTAGCGTCAGTTGAATGTATGGTTACGATAAACTGACAATGCTTTGTTGATTTTGCAACGTTTAGTTTCCTTTCATTTAATTAATGAAGAAATGGTTCAAGTGAAATAATTTGTGATGAAATGTATCAATTACTTTGAAATTTAAATGGATTTTTGACGTTTGAAACATGCATCTTCTGTTTTAGGGCTCTATCAAACGTTGGAGGTTATCAAATATTGATCTGCTTATCTTAAGTTTCATGGCATAAACGCCTTTACAATGATTTTCAAACATAATTCCATGACATGGCTGTTATTGCTTGGATTTCCATTGAACTTTGTATGAAATAAGAAGTCTGTAAGCATGGCAACCAGTAGCTTTATCTGGCTGTGGGGATTGAGATGATAAATGTATGTTTTACATACATGTAGGAATAGGAAATCAATGCGTGA